TGCTCGATTTTTTATTAGAACTAATACAATGTTTTTATTTTGAAGGCTATGGATACGTGGGTTTGTGCTTCAATCGACTCTATTATTGATAATTGGTGGTACCTTGCGTGCAAAAGATGCAATAGCAAGATGAATTGTGAAGATGGTGACATGTATTGCACCAAGTGCACCAACACACGTGGCACTGCACGGTTGGAACATCATTCTTTTAGTTTTTGTTTTCTCAATATCATTAATAATATTTAATATCATATTATTTATTGTTTTAAAGGTACAAGATTCAATTTGGAGTCCATGATTGCACTGCAAGTGGTGTTTTCCTATGTTGGGATAGAGAGTGTGAAAGGATGATTGGAAAGTCTTGTGAGATAATAAAACGTGAAGTTTCTTTGTTAAAGGTGAGTATAATTTATTCAATAGAGTTTAAATTATTTCTTACGAGATGAACTTATTTTATAACTAATATTATTTGTTTTTTCTGTAGAATAAAGCTGCCTTTGACCTTCCGGATGATCTTGAGGACTTGGTTGGGAGAACCTTTCTTTTCAAGGTTCGAATCAAGCCCAATGATACGTTTTCAACTGCCTTCTCCGTGTTAAGGGTTATTGTTGATTCAAATTTGGTTTCCAAGTACAACCATTGGGTTGTAGAGAATGATGTAAGTTTGCATTAATCTTTAACAATTTAATAATATTAATTTGATATACAATCATAATTTGAAAATTATTATAATGCTTTTTGTTTATAGGAGTCCGATTTTTTGACCCTTTTACAAAGGGAGGAAGCTACTAAGGTTAGTATAAATACTTAGAAATAAATATTAAATATATGTATTTATAAGGTAACATATAAGTTAAATATTAAATTCGGATTTTTTTTGTACAATTTTGATTAGGACGACGATGAAGAGGAAGTTATTTCACCGCTGAAGGTGGTTCGTGATGTTGAGCAAGTTAGCGATACGTCCAATGCAAAACGCAATTTGTTGGACGAGTTTGCTATTGACCGCGAGGGTGGACAAGCTAAATCCGTTACGAGCAAGAAGGGCAAGGCGAAGGTTGATGAGGAAGGAAACTTGCTCCCTACTGAAGGATGAAATAATAACTAGATGTTTGATTTTTTAATTAGAAGACATTTTTTTATGTTTATGTTGCTTGGATGGTTTTTCTTTATTGTTGGTTCGTTGAATAATTGTTTTGATATTGTGGAACAAATAATTGCAACTATATGTTGCTTTTGGTTGATGTCTCTAGGAAACATATAGTTTCCGAGATTTCAATCAACTTAGGAATAAAATTGATTTCCCATTTGAATTTATACATGTTTTCATAATTTTAATCATTTTCCAGCATTACATATTTTGTTTCTTTTTTTTAA